CGACTCCGTTTGACTCGACATACTTCTCCGTCGCAGTTTTATCGTCCTCCCCGACACTGTGGAGCAGGGACAAAAAGATGGTAAAGGTCAGAGGTTCACAACAACTGAGTTATGATACCAAATTGTTTGTAGCTATGAGCAAAGTACTGTTTATCATTAGTTAATTAAAAAAGGAGTGATCAATAGATAGTGAAAGTGATCATTAGTTGGATCCCTAGACTTGAGTCAGCTTAGCCCCCCTGATGCTGTTTATATTTCAGATGCTCCACCTGTTGGTGCAGCCGTTGCCGACCGGAGACTCTGCTGTTTCTTTCTCAGACAGAGAGCTGCAAGACCTCCTCTCCTGCCAGGAGCCCACTCTGGGCTCTTTGCCTGTGTCCGAGCTCTTCCTCCTGGCCACGACGGGCCCCGGTCCTGACCCCCGTCTCTCTGAGCTAACCCTGGGACCCGCAGAGTCGGAGGGTGTGCTCAGCCCCCCCGGCCCCTCTGGATCCTTGCCCGAGTCGCTGCTGGTGCGCCTCCCATTCAGGCTGTCTGAGGAGGAGACGTGGCTCATCTGGCCCTCTCGCTCATCTGGTGAGGAAAAAGAAAATAAATCATAAATGATATTGTTTTTTCAGAAAAACCTGTTTGTAGGTGTCAAACGTGACAGCTGCAGAACAGTTACTTAACTCATCTGTCATATCTGTGAGGTTTTCGGTGAAACTGACGGCAACAGCCTCAACTAATAAACAACACAGGCAACGATTGATAAAGAGCAACCACAAAGATCAACTCAAAGTAACTTTTACTTAGACTTTATTCAAATCAAACCATGTCACTAAGCTTTCTGACTTCAAGGGTCAACTCCTAGACTGTGAATAGTTCACTAAAGTGTCATGTCCAATGAATAACTGGCAACTAATCAGAGAACTTTGTACAGCCTCATTTCCCATTAGGAAGAATGGGACATGGCAAAAACTGGTGCTCAAATGTTGCTTGGATCACCGTAACAACTTGCAATGAGGGGCTACAACCGAGTGTGATATGTCATTTTGTTCCATTACTAGAGAAAAGTTTTTTATACGTGCACCTTTCCTAGATTAAGTACTGTGTTGTGCTTCCTGTGTGGACTTAATGTTGATCTTTCCAGTCCAGCACATGTTCAACCTTATTGGAAGTGTATTCAGCAGTAGTGCAACCTATATTGGGAAAATCTAGCTCCTCAACACGTAAAATTTGCTGAGACGCTTCACAGCACTTTGGCTTCTAATGGATGTGTTGTGTTTTAGCCCGTTAAAGAGTGACGAGGGGTCAGGAGGAGGACAGGAAGCACTCCTAATGTAACGTGCTACATTTGCTCTATTTTAGGTCATTCACTTTACAATGTTCCTCGTTGTGTTATTGTGTTTTCCTCACCTTGTTTTTCTTCTTTTGAATATTTTGCTTTACGAATAGAGTTTACAACATCCATCTTCCAAATCTTCCATGCCCCCCTTCCTCCTCCCGCTCTAACTGCATTTGCTGATACAATCAGAAACCAGTTTGACTCTTCTTTACTTCAATGATTTGAAATAAAATAAAATAAAAGCTCTAACCAGCTTTCCTCCACACCGGAGCCATTGATGTATTGAACCTAAATAATTTGCACATTTGAAAAATCAAGAAGGTGTGATTAATTCTGCCAGATGAGGCCAATCAATCATGGAAAAGCAGATAACTCCATACCAGCAATAATCTGACCTCGTTACAAAATGTGGTTCATTGTGTGGTGCAGTGCCCCCCCTACTGGACACACCCAGACATAGCAGCTCAGACAGGTTCTCCCCCAACAGCATGAAATCGTTCTGAGATGGATCCCCTGACCTCTGCTACGTTAACACCGCTTGTTCTAAAAATTGACTGACGCAGCAACGGGATAATTAGCAGCTCAACTTCATCTGAACGTGCAGACACGGAGCTCAGTGCGCTGGCTTCACCTCTGGGTTCACTTCTTCACACAGGCAGCTTTCAGTTTGCTTTATACCATCTTTTCCCTCTTTATCATTGTTGAATGTTTTCTTCTGCAAAGCTGTTCAGGAATTTTTTTCTTAACAAACTTGTAAAAGGTTCTATTAAAAGTGTATTTAAGGTCATAAATGGGTTTAATGGTTTGACGTGTTTTCCACAAAAAAAGTTCAACTTAATGCTCAGCTGAGCAGTGGTGCAAAGCAACTAAGTACATTTACTCAAGGACAGTACTTCAGTGCAATTTTGAGATACTTGTACTATAAAATTTGTTGTAATTCAACATACTACAAAACTGAAGTATTGTGTACATATTTATACATCAGGAATAGTGATCTAATAACATGACACTGACTTTTACTTTTGATACTTTAAAGTATATTTTGTTGCAAATACTTTCATACTTTTACTTAAGTAACATTTTAAATGTCAGACCTTTGACCCAAGACACACTGTATATTATATAAAAAGTTTAACATAACAAATAAAGTTTATGTATAGAAGGCCTAATTGCAAGATAAGTCAGTAACAACAAACAATGCAAACTTTGCAGAGAGGAAAATTGGTGATACAGCAGTTAGGGAAAAAATCCCTTGTTTGAGTTTCCCTGAAAAGTACACAAGAAATCAACACTGCTCAGCATCCTCAGGTGTGTTTACCTCCGGAGCCAGCTTCTCCCGCCTTGTTGCGTCGACGTCTCAGGATGACCTCCAGCTCGCTGTCCTTCTTCCCAGGTGGTGACGGCCCCGACTCCTGAGACCCTCGGCTGGGACTCCGCTTCACCGTCTCCTGAAGGCAAAAACAACCATCACTGCAGCTTATCTTATACACATATTGACATATTGTATCAATGAAATCAATACGTTTTGCTCCGTTTAATGTAATTTCTATATGTCAGTTTCATCAAAAGATTTTGATTTTTGACTTACAGATTTTAAAATCTGCATTTGAAGTCTTTCGACTGATAATATAAATTAAATTAAAATAAATAGGTTTATATGTATGCCATGTCTACCAAACATCACTGATTAACTAACTACCACTAACTAACTTGAGTTACAACAACCACAACCTTTTTTCTGCAGAACCAGAAAATTATATAACCAAAATAAAATGGTTTCTGTTCTTGACCCGTTTTGATTAAAATCATGATCTCTGAAAGGTAACAGTGTAGAGTTTACTGTCTGAAAGTGTGCTTTATATCTAGTCCTGTAGTCGCAGAGATGTTGGAATCTTAAAACCGTTTACCGTAAAATTGTGAGGATTTGTGCCTTCATGCGACATAGAGTTTGTCAAGATTGAGTAAGCAGCTGTTTTCACAGTCAAACCATAACTGGTAAAAAGCCATTTTTACCAGGATGCCTTTCAGTTCCTCCATGGCGCTCTCCTGCGGTTTCTCCTCACAGATTGGAGGTGGCTGGGGAAAAAAACACAAATATTCCTTTCTGATTTTTTTCTTGAAAGCCAAGAGTGCATGAGAGCATGGCACAAGTGCTGCATTTCATAAACACCGAAAAATTTGAATTTCTGGAGACTCACTTTGTCTTGCTGACTGAATTGAGTGAAACCCTGCTACACTGGTGTTGCAAGGCTTCATAATTAGTAAGCTTCTGGTAGGAGAAGAACAATAACCCAACAAGCACACAGTGCCCAGCCCATGAAGTGATTTGAAATGGAAGTAAAAGTGAAGTGTGTTTAACTGATTAAAACTAGAGTCGGTAGAGTGTCTGTGTGTGTGTGTTGGGTTATAGTGAGGTCAGAGGGAGGCAAACGTCTTTTCCTCCTCATAGAGCGACAGCAACTTCACATCACAAGATTGATGCAAACATCAATATACTCACTTTTACTGCTACTCTCTGTGGCATCACAAAGGAGGAACATGGAGAGGAAAGAGAAAAGAGCAATCAGCCAGAGTGCATTCAGACTACATCAAACATGGAGCCAAAGGAGCTGAAAGTGTTTACTGACGTTGATGAAAAGAGGAGAAGAATTTCAGTAAAACATGGTTTCCTTCCACAGTGATCAAGCAGGAATATTGTTTCACCTGCTTTGATGTTCGTTTGAAGTGAAGATTGATTTGATGATCATTGTAAGGTCACAGGAATATTTTAGTTCTTCTGCTGTCAGTGAGCTGTGACCTTTGACCCTTGACTTCCTTACTATAGTTGGATACAGTATCAAAATGAATGAGGACTTTAGGGCGAAGGGACTTAATTTGAAAATGTTTGTGGGCAAAAAAAAAAATTGAGATTTTTTCATTGAATCGCAAGGAAAAATGTTTCGGATTTGTTTGTACTTTTATTACTTTGCATCAGTCAAATGTACGTATGTCAGTCATACAGCCTGCTTTTGAGGCCCATACTCATCCTTGAGAGTTTTTAAAAACCTGAATTTGTGGGTTTAACAGAAACACATACCATAATCAAACATTTTTCACAATTGCATATTAAAAATTGATGACAGCTGAAAAATGAACTTGTCGATGCTCTCTGGTAGACAAAATATCTAGCTGTGGCACAGCCAATGAACGGGAAAGTTCATTCTTGAGCTTGGGATCAGTATGTGCGACAAAATAATAATTACTCAAAGTTCACTTACTGTGGACTGCATTGTCTTATTTATCACTGGCTGACAAACATGCAGACGCTTAAACAGTATATCTGCGATAAGACAAGATGATATTGTAAGAAGTGCCCAGCCGATTCAGTGCTTTGGGATGCAAAGTTTAGATCAATCTTTCTTTTTTAAATTCAGGAAACCTTTTAGATTAGTTTCAAACTTGAGATGATCAGAAAATACCTAAATATAAAATACTGATCATTAAAAAAACATGTAGCAAAGGAAAGTCACACAAACGACGAATATCCTTTATAAATGTCTCCGTCTGCCCGTCTTGTCCTCACCTTAGTCTCCTGACTCTTGACAGGTCGCAGGACGACGCCATGTTTGATCCTTTCCATCATTTCATTGACTGCTTTCACCTTCACGTCGTCCACACCCTCAGCAGCTACAGAGAGAGAGAGAAAACATGAAGTGCAAACACAGTAAGAATTCCAAGTTCCTTCATATGTTTAGGTGATATGACAGTGCTTACAATGAGATAATAGAGATTTGTTTCTAACAGAGGTTGCTATAAGTTGCTTTAAGTAGCTCTGGTTATTTTAGGCCATTGTAGGCAAGTTAGCAAATCAGAAGCAGGCCTGTTTCACCAAGTACTTTAAATCAATGTGATGAAGTATCTTGAATCTTTTCAGGTATTTATTTACAGGATTAACAAAAAAAAACAACATTCCCATCTGGTTATTTTATCTATTAACCATTTTAATTTCTGTAAAATATCACAATATGTATCACTATCATAATTATATACCATCATTTTATTTGATCCATACCGGTCACTGCTATCTAACTAACTAATCACTATAGACAGATATCAGCACATGAATGCAGGATCTGTAGGCAAGGGACAAGATTTTGGTATCGGAAGTGTTCGGGTTTCCGTTGTAATCCGAGGAGTATTGACCAATCACGTTTGAGTGGGCATTGGATGCAAGGGTGGTGATGGTGCAGTGAATAAGACACATATCTTTGGTGTGAGAGACACAGGTTCAATTCCCCACTGTGACACATCCACCAATGTGTCCCTGAGCAAGACACTTAACCCCTTGTTGCTCCAGAGGCGTAAGACCTCTGACATATACAGCAATTGTAAGTCGCTTTGGATAAAAGCATCAGCAAAATGAGTAAATGTGATGCAGCTAAATGGTCTCTGCGTGGAACAAAAGAGACGAAACACATCTGATATTTAGCTTCTTGGAACCCTAACCTTATTTATTTTTTATTTATCTGCATTCAAATTGTCATCAGACAATAGCTGATGGCTTCTGAGATTGCTGTTCAGACTGGATACAATTAGCGCCGGACAGAAGAGGAAGTCTTGACCCGGATATCTGGATAATATCAGATCCTGTCCAATGGCTTCACCAAAAGCCCGAATCATTGGCTGTTTTCCCAAGAAGCTAAATTTACAATAGTTAAAGGGTACTGTACTACATGTGACAACATATAAATATAAAAAGGTGTGGTAAAACTCACCTGGAGGCTGCTCTGCCTTCACGGACGCTTTAGAGCCTTTTGAAGATTTCCTCATGATGGCTATCAGAGAGCTGAGAGAGCGAGAGACAAGAAACATAAATGGTCTGAAACGTTTTTCATTTCAATTGTCCCTTCAGTGCATTAATGCTGCTTTCAAGCTACTGTATGTCACTTCCTTTATTACAGAGTAGGTGCTCTTCTGTGTCTCTCAAAGCACTTTGCTAATCTGATTATCAGAAGGTGCCTTTATTTTTCACTCTTGTCGGTTTGTCATCTGTTTCCAAAACTACTATCACTATCAATCAATCAACGTTGTTGTAAGTTTTGAGGACACTATACAGTGGATTTGTTTCACACTCAGAATTCAGACACTCAATTAAAATATCCCGCAGATACATACTGTATATAGTAACTGGAGAATGATTTCAGACACAGGGTAGGATTACTTGATTAAACTGCAATCCTGAAACTCTACACAAGGCTCAAATAAATTATCCACTAAATTCACGTTTTGTCACACAACCTCCTCTTTTTAATTCACTTTCTAAAAACTGAAACCGGTTTCAGTTTTCCCAGTGCTGTAGCTGATTTAATTTTGTACAGGACATGTAACCACAGAAACGTCTGTAGATTGCAGTGCGTTGTGGAACATGTGTTGGGTTTGCTGTCGCCATCCTCACCTGAGGGGGTTGCATCTCGAGGGGGGAGGTGGAGGAGGCGGAGGAGGGGGGGGAGGAGGGGGAGGAGGAGGCTGCGGGGGAGGGGCGGGAGGTGGGGCAACCCCAGGTTCGGGGGGAGGGGGTCCCGTTCTGGTCGTCATGGCATTGTTTTTCTGGGTCTCCTCCTGGAGCTTGTGGACTGTAGAGAGGAAGAAAAACAATGGAAACAGTCAATAACACTAACAGTACACTACTGCTAGTACTATTTATCTAGTAGTACTTTTCATCCTTTCTGCTGTAGGAGCTCTGGTGAAGGAAATCCTTTAAACCTCCATGTGAAGACTCTTACCCCACACACTATCTTTGGACACTATGCAACACCAATGAAAGAGGCTTCTGTTTTTATTGTCTCTTTTTAACAGCTCCTGGTTGAAGTCAGTTGGCGGTTTTGGCCCTGACTTCATGTGACCCATTTAAAATGGACAGATGCCGTGTTGCACGCAGGGAGAAAGTCTGCGTGTTTGCCAGCTTTCCTGCAGCAGATGGGTCAATGGTCTGTGTCGGACACATCCTGCCCACACAATACATATTACAATTTCTGTTAATTTTTGAGGTTTTGCTGTTAAGATTCTTTAATTTTTTTGTTCCAATGTATGTCACTCATAACATGAGACACAGACAACAATAAAGGTGAAATCAGATTGTGGATGTTTAAAGAGTTTAAAAATGGAGTTACACAACCACAGCAACCAAATTCAACACGTGCCACATTTATGTAAATATATTTTGGTGGTTTCATGGTGGTGCATGACTTTTTAATAACTTAACTTAACTAGCTTTTTCCAGCTCTTCCCTGAAGCTATATGAGTTATATGATCAAAGACATGTTTTTTTTAGGAATGCACCATTCCATTAATTTCATTGTTTCCCTAAACTTCAGCTTGACATATTTGACATCTACTTAAATGTGGAAATCTCCACCACCACATTTTAAAATAAAGTCCTGTCAACAATCGCCGATATTTGTGGGCAGATCATTAGTTTGTATAGATGAATCCACAGGAGAGCCAGTGGGGTTAAAGAGATTAAAATAAGACAAAATGAACAAGGGCTGAATCCAAATAGTCGAAGATGTGATGCTTCGAATCTCACAGTCGTAGCTTCGCAGCGAAACGAGGATCGTGCCATTTTGGCGATATGGGGGTGCCCAACGTCTGATTTTACATAGAACTACCAGTTTTCTCCCAGTAAGTTAATATACAGCCTATTACAATATACATTTCAACATTTAATGCTGTAAATAATAATAATAAACATGTATAAAAGAAAAAAAAACTTCCAATAAATGTTTTTAAAGTGCGTGAATAAATCCAAAATTGTAATCCTAACCCTGGGTCGTCAGTGCGTAACACCTGCTGAAGAGACGGAGCCACAGCTTCACCAGTGTTGTGCCGAGTTGTCCCTCACGACACTTTCGGATAATTTATCACCGTTGATGAACCACACAAAGAATATTTTAATGTTCTTAAATAGCCGGCTACTTGAAATAGACCAGCGAGGAACCACGATGTGCGGGCAGTTGTCGGCAGCACGGCAAAAACTATGCACAACACCGGTGAATGGCAGTGGCGAGAGAGAGAGAGAGAGAGAGAGAGAGAGAGAGAGAGAGAGAGAGAGAGAGAGAGAGAGAGAGAGAGAGAGAGAGAGAATGGTCAACAATAAGCCTCAGTTTAGCTTTGGCTCGCAATCGCCGTGCACAAAAACACACATGATTCGATCAGTCGACTACAGGCAGGACTTGACGATTCTGATTCGACTTTGTAAGTCGGGGACAGCCCTAAAATGAACTAAAGACACTGTGGCAGCTGGATGCCTTTATAGAGACGTTTAAAGCTGAACCACATAACTGAGATCAGACTCGCAGGGTTTAGTCTGATTTTGGTGCAGCTCAATTAGAGCACTCAAACTGGGTCAACAACGTGTGTCACCTTGGGGTCTAAAAGTACCAGTGCATGTAATAATTGTGCATGTGTCAGTATACTGTATTAGGGTTCATTGGTTTCAATATTGCCAACATCCCTGTTGATTATTGTTTCTTTTGTAATGTATAATTTCTTATAACAGATATATATCTAACTATATGTTATCAGTGTCTCTAGTTTAGGATCAATCACAATTATATATCGAGTCCATCATTTTCAGTCTCTTATGTCGTTTCTGCGTATCAAAAAGAGAAAAGTCTATTTGTTTTTTTCAATTTCCCTTTTTCTTACTTTCTTCTTTTTCTTTTTTTAGATTTTTAGTTTCTATTTAACTCATTTAAAACATTTTTAAATTGCTTTTATGTTTTATTTAAAGGACTCTGAATTACCTTGTTGTTGAAATGTGCTATACAAATAAACTTGCCTTGCCTTTGTATTCAGATTAACCCACGTTCAGGCAGATACTTGCCAGCCAATCAGAAACAAGTGTTTTCTGTGACTATGCTGTGTACTGGGTGTGTGTATATCTCCTATCTCCTTTCAATTATATGAAGTAACACCCAACTGAGGACCCCTTCCCGCGCCGTATGTGTGTAAACGTGTGTGCGTCTCCACCTCCGCCCACCTCTGTTCTCCAGCTCCTCATTCTTCTTCTCTGCCTTCTCCAATCGTCCGTCCACCTCCTTCTTCTCCACCTCCAGCAGCTCCAGCTGCCTCTGCAGAGCCTCCAGCTGCTTCTTCACACAGCTCTGCTCCAGCTGGGCCTGCAGGCTCTCCACCTACACACAGACACACACACACACATATTGTATGATGTGCTGTACACCATGGCTACACAATTAGGGTGAGTCTATTGTTTATTGATCAACATCTTTGTCCTCTCTCAAAAGGTCACATGACTACTGCATAACCTTAACAAGTAGCATGCAACTTCAGCAGACCTCAATGTGTGAGTGACTGTAAAAGGCTGAAGTGCTACAGAATCTTAATATTTCAGAGTTGTAGCAGAGAACAGACAAGATTTTAATTTTTATGATCTTTGGTCAAAGTCTTGAAGTTTCTGGGGTTTACCTTCTGCTGATGCTGCAGACGCTCCTCCTCCAGGGTTTTGGTGATGGCAGCAACATCCTCCAGAGCTTTCAGAAGCTGAACGCTGGGCTCAGCACTCTGTAGCAGGAGCATACTCTGCCTGTTGGCCTCCTTCTGCTTCACCAGCATCTGCAGGAGGGAGTGGAGGAAGAAGAGGAGGAGGAGGAGGATGAGGAGAACAGAAGAAGGGAGACGTGGAAGAGGAGAAGAAGAATGCCAAAACAAAGCAGGGGAGAAGGAGAGGAAGATACAGAGGGAGAGGAGGGAGGAGAATGATGAGAAAGATTTGCATTTTCACTTCCAAAATTCCATCCCAGTTAGTTCATCACATACAGTCTGTTTAAATCCTGCAGGCTCTTCACTTTTCAGGTCAGTAACCACCAGATTCAGGACAATTCATTAATCAGGCACAAGGTTATTAACACACACACACACACACACACACATCAATCACCAACACAGCAATGCAGGTCAGCTTTTATCACTGAGGCTAACAGTAGCATCGTTTCATAGCTTTTAATTCACGGAAAGCAATTAGTTTTATCTTCAGACTGGATCACTTCAGAGATTTGAAGCATACCAGTCATAACGTATTCTCAGAAACTCTGAAATGTAGATTATGAATACTGTGATAATTATGTTTCTGATACCTCTAATATTTTTTCACATGTTCATCACATGAAACAATTAGTTGAAGCGGTGCTTTGTGGATGATAGAAAACTGAATCTGCCTCTTTCTGCAGCATAACAACGATAAAAAACCTCCACCACAGATGTCACATTTGAATTGTTTGTCCCTTCAACAGGTAAAATCCACCAATTTTGGTGCAAGCTAGATCCTAAGTCACAAGTTATTCTTTTTGTGTAGCGGTGCTAAAACAAACAAATGTAAGATTCCATCCAACTGACTAAAATAAATAATGCAGAGAGGAATATCAGCACTGAGTTTGAAGCTGCACTAATCACTATATTTGATACTGAACTAGTTTTAATTTAATGCCAAAGTGATGTGTTAAGGAATACTTCTAGTAACAAACAACTGCTCTCATCAACAACAAGGAGCTCAGGGGCCGGATGTCTTTCTCAGGAGCAGGTAGAGACCGAACTACAGCTAATAGGAGAGTGAATATTGAAGTTAGATCAGTCAGGTGGACAGAGGAATGTGATGATAATGTTGATCTGTGTATGCTGGAGAACTAAATAGCTACTATTTTCGAACATGTAAACCAGTGATACTGTGATGGCAGCATATCTGTCAGCTTGTTTTGATGTCTTTTCTGCCTCCTAGTAGCCAAAAACATATTAATGTAGCTTAAAGGTTCAAACAAGTTGTGTGTTTCTGTGATTGTACCTCGTGTGCGTAAGTCTCAGCTTTGACTCTTAGGCTCTGCTCCAAGTCGAGCTGCTCCTTCATCCCATCGTACTCCTGAGCGGCCATCATGGAGACTGCAGAGACAAAGAAAACATCACATAAGCACTCATTTGAATTGACACAACTGATGTTTTTTTTTTCAACCTGTCCTTTGTATTCAAGTCTGACAGGACTGTTTGCACATTAACGTGTAGCCTATGTTAACAAGTATTGTTCAACATGTTAGCATGTTAAAATGACAACTAACATTTTGCAGTTTACCTTGTTAACATCTGTAAATTTATGTTAACATACTAACTTATTTCAAGACTTAATATTCCCATTTTCATTCACAAGGAGATTCATTATTTTGTAGTTTTCCTCCTTTCTCCTTTTTTCATTTCTGTGCGTTCATGAATTAAAGTCAGAAAGCCTCAGGATAAGTGCACATTTCTCACTAAAGTTGAGATCTGAGAGTTGAGAAGTTGAGATTTACAACTCACAAGGACGTGTCTCTCATTCGCAATGCATAATTCATGTTCTCTTGCATCTTTGCATTTATCGTAATTTAAATTTTAGGACCTTAGCATAAAAATAGAAGAGTTTAACATGCTAAATTAAATGAAGGCTGTGTTTTAGAATTCATTTTCGTTAAATGAATTTGTTGTATCACTGGTTTGAACCTCGGTCACTGTGTTTCTGCTGTGTTGTGACTCACCTCTGTTGAATCTCTTGATTGTTTTTCCTTGTTGCTCAACAGTTTCACGAAGCTCTTTCATCTCTGCCTGATCTTTCTGTGACTGCAAATAGTGAAAGAAAAGTAAGTCAGTAAAATCAGGGATCATAAACAGTCAAAGAAATGTTTTCCTTTCATAGGCTGTCAAACCAATAACATTTTGACTGACAGCGATGACATAAACAACTCCACAGCAAAGAAGACAGAGGAAGAGGACTTGGTCCTCCTCACCTGTGACGTGAACTCTTCTATCCGTCTCTGCTGTTCGTGAATCTGACAGACAAAATTCTTCTTCTCCTCCAACAAGCTGTTCACTGTCTCCCTCAGTTCTGACAAAACACAGAAATGAACAGTACAGCATGGTAAAGAGTTTTTATTTCTGAATTTCACTGCACAATCAATGTTAATAGTGACCTTTCATTTACAATTAGAAAGCAAGTTCCCTAAATAGAAAATGTCCATGCATTTTCTGAGGAGCATGAATGCGTTGAGTACATTTGGATATTTCCTGATGTTATCTCTAGAAAAGACAAACACATTAGGATTCATCCTCTGAGGAGCATGTACAGTATATCCACAGCAAATATTAACATAATTCTACGTATTGTACCTTTAACCTGTTTTTGGTACTGTGTGAATATAATTCTACGTATTGTACCTTTGGTACTGTGTGAATATAATTCTACGTATTGTACCTTTAACCTGTTTTTGGCACTGTGTGAATATAATTCTACGTATTGTACCTTTAACCTGTTTTTGGCACTGTGTGAATATAATTCTACGTATTGTACCTTTAACCTGTTTTTGTTACTGTGTGAATATAATTCTACATATTGTACCTTTAACCTGTTTTTGGTACTGTGTGAATATAATTCTACGTATTGTACCTTTAACCTGTTTTTGGCACTGTGTGAATATAATTCTACGTATTGTACCTTTAACCTGTTTTTGGCACTGTGTGAATATAATTCTACGTATTGTACCTTTAACCTGTTTTTGGTACTGTGTGAATATAATTCTACGTATTGTACCTTTAAGCTGTTTTTGGCACTGTGTGAATATAATTCTACGTATTGTACCTTTAACCTGTTTTTGGCACTGTGTGAATATAATTCTACGTATTGTACCTTTGGTACTGTGTGAATATAATTCTACGTATTGTACCTTTAACCTGTTTTTGGCACTGTGTGAATATAATTCTACGTATTGTACCTTTAAACTGTTTTTGGTACTGTGTGAATATAATTCTACGTATTGTACCTTTAAGCTGTTTTTGGCACTGTGTGAATATAATTCTACGTATTGTACCTTTAACCTGTTTTTGGTACTGTGTGAATATAATTCTACGTATTGTACCTTTAACCTGTTTTTGGCACTGTGTGAATATAATTCTACGTATTGTACCTTTAACCTGTTTTTGGTACTGTGTGAATATAATTCTACGTATTGTACCTTTAACCTGTTTTTGGTACTGTGTGAATATAATTCTACGTATTGTACCTTTAACCTGTTTTTGGCACTGTGTGAATATAATTCTACGTATTGTACCTTTAACCTGTTTTTGGTACTGTGTGAATATAATTCTACGTATTGTACCTTTAACCTGTTTTTGGTACTGTGTGAATATAATTCTACGTATTGTACCTTTAACCTGTTTTTGGTACTGTGTGAATATAATTCTACGTATTGTACCTTTAAGCTGTTTTTGGCACTGTGTGAATATAATTCTACGTATTGTACCTTTGGTACTGTGTGAATATAATTCTACGTATTGTACCTTTAACCTGTTTTTGGCACTGTGTGAATATAATTCTACGTATTGTACCTTTAACCTGTTTTTGGTACTGTGTGAATATAATTCTACGTATTGTACCTTTAACCTGTTTTTGGCACTGTGTGAATATAATTCTACGTATTGTACCTTTAACCTGTTTTTGGTACTGTGTGAATATAATTCTACGTATTGTACCTTTAACCTGTTTTTGTTACTGTGTGAATATAATTCTACGTATTGTACCTTTAACCTGTTTTTGGCACTGTGTGAATATAATTCTACGTATTGTACCTTTAAGCTGTTTTTGGCACTGTGTGAATATAATTCTACGTATTGTACCTTTAACCTGTTTTTGGTACTGTGTGAATATAATTCTACGTATTGTACCTTTAAGCTGTTTTTGGCACTGTGTGAATATAATTCTACGTATTGTACCTTTGGTACTGTGTGAATATAATTCTACGTATTGTACCTTTAACCTGTTTTTGGCACTGTGTGAATATAATTCTACGTATTGTACCTTTAACCTGTTTTTGGTACTGTGTGAATATAATTCTACATATTGTACCTTTAACCTGTTTTTGGCACTGTGTGAATATAATTCTACGTATTGTACCTTTAACCTGTTTTTGGTACTGTGTGAATATAATTCTACGTATTGTACCTTTAACCTGTTTTTGTTACTGTGTGAATATAATTCTACGTATTGTACCTTTAAACTGTTTTTGGCACTGTGTGAATATAATTCTACGTATTGTACCTTTAAGCTGTTTTTGGCACTGTGTGAATATAATTCTACGTATTGTACCTTTAACCTGTTTTTGGTACTGTGTGAATATAATTCTACGTATTGTACCTTTAAGCTGTTTTTGGTACTGTGTGAATATAATTCTACGTATTGTACCTTTAACCTGTTTTTGGTACTGTGTGAATATAATTCTACGTATTGTACCTTTGGTACTGTGTGAATATAATTCTACGTATTGTACCTTTGGCACTGTGTGAATATAATTCTACGTATTGTACCTTTAACCTGTTTTTGGTACTGTGTGAATATAATTCTACGTATTGTACCTTTAAGCTGTTTTTGGCACTGTGTGAATATAATTCTACGTATTGTACCTTTAACCTGTTTTTGGCACTGTGTGAATATAATTCTACATATTGTACCTTTAACCTGTTTTTGGCACTGTGTGAATATAATTCTACGTATTGTACCTTTAAGCTGTTTTTGGCACTGTGTGAATATAATTCTACGTATTGTACCTTTAAGCTGTTTTTGGCACTGGGTGAATATAATTCTACGTATTGTACCTTTAACCTGTTTTTGGTACTGTGTGAATATAATTCTACGTATTGTACCTTTAAGCTGTTTTTGGCACTGGGTGAATATAATTCTACGTATTGTACCTTTAACCTGTTTTTGGCACTGTGTGAATATAATTCTACGTATTGTACCTTTAAGCTGTTTTTGGCACTGTGTGAATATAATTCTACGTATTGTACCTTTAAGCTGTTTTTGGCACTGGGTGAATATAATTCTACGTATTGTACCTTTAACCTGTTTTTGTTACTGTGTGAATATAATTCTACGTATTGTACCTTTAACCTGTTTTTGGCACTGTGTGAATATAATTCTACGTATTGTACCTTTAAGCTGTTTTTGGCACTGTGTGAATATAATTCTACGTATTGTACCTTTAACCTGTTTTTGGTACTGTGTGAATATAATTCTACGTATTGTACCTTTAAGCTGTTTTTGGCACTGTGTGAATATAATTCTACGTATTGTACCTTTGGTACTGTGTGAATATAATTCTACGTATTGTACCTTTAACCTGTTTTTGGCACTGTGTGAATATAATTCTACGTATTGTACCTTTAACCTGTTTTTGGTACTGTGTGAATATAATTCTACGTATTGTACCTTTAACCTGTTTTTGGCACTGTGTGAATATAATTCTACGTATTGTACCTTTAACCTGTTTTTGGTACTGTGTGAATATAATTCTACGTATTGTACCTTTAACCTGTTTTTGTTACTGTGTGAATATAATTCTACGTATTGTACCTTTAACCTGTTTTTGGCACTGTGTGAATATAATTCTACGTATTGTACCTTTAAGCTGTTTTTGGCACTGTGTGAATATAATTCTACGTATTGTACCTTTAACCTGTTTTTGGTACTGTGTGAATATAATTCTACGTATTGTACCTTTAAGCTGTTTTTGGTACTGTGTGAATATAATTCTACGTATTGTACCTTTAACCTGTTTTTGGTACTGTGTGAATATAATTCTACGTATTGTACCTTTGGTACTGTGTGAATATAATTCTACGTATTGTACCTTTGGCACTGTGTGAATATAATTCTACGTATTGTACCTTTAACCTGTTTTTGGTACTGTGTGAATATAATTCTACGTATTGTACCTTTAAGCTGTTTTTGGCACTGTGTGAATATAATTCTACGTATTGTACCTTTGGTACTGTGTGAATATAATTCTACGTATTGTACCTTTAACCTGTTTTTGGCACTGTGTGAATATAATTCTACGTATTGTACCTTTAACCTGTTTTTGGTACTGTGTGAATATAATTCTACATATTGTACCTTTAACCTGTTTTTGGCACTGTGTGAATATAATTCTACGTATTGTACCTTTAACCTGTTTTTGGTACTGTGTGAATATAATTCTACGTATTGTACCTTTAACCTGTTTTTGTTACTGTGTGAATATAATTCTACGTATTGTACCTTTAAACTGTTTTTGGCACTGTGTGAATATAATTCTACGTATTGTACCTTTAAGCTGTTTTTGGCACTGTGTGAATATAATTCTACGTATTGTACCTTTAACCTGTTTTTGGTACTGTGTGAATATAATTCTACGTATTGTACCTTTAAGCTGTTTTTGGTACTGTGTGAATATAATTCTACGTATTGTACCTTTAACCTGTTTTTGGTACTGTGTGAATATAATTCTACGTATTGTACCTTTGGTACTGTGTGAATATAATTCTACGTATTGTACCTTTGGCACTGTGTGAATATAATTCTACGTATTGTACCTTTAACCTGTTTTTGGTACTGTGTGAATATAATTCTACGTATTGTACCTTTAAGCTGTTTTTGGCACTGTGTGAATATAATTCTACGTATTGTACCTTTAACCTGTTTTTGGCACTGTGTGAATATAATTCTACATATTGTACCTTTAACCTGTTTTTGGCACTGTGTGAATATAATTCTACGTATTGTACCTTTAAGCTGTTTTTGGCACTGTGTGAATATAATTCTACGTATTGTACCTTTAAGCTGTTTTTGGCACTGGGTGAATATAATTCTACGTATTGTACCTTTAACCTGTTTTTGGTACTGTGTGAATATAATTCTACGTATTGTACCTTTAAGCTGTTTTTGGCACTGGGTATAATTCTACGTATTGTACCTTTAACCTGTTTTTGGCACTGTGTGAATATAATTCTACGTATTGTACCTTTAAGCTGTTTTTGGCACTGTGTGAATATAATTCTACGTATTGTACCTTTAAGCTGTTTTTGGCACTGGTGAATATAATTCTACGTATTGTACCTTTAACCTGTTTTTGTTACTGTGTGAATATAATTCTACGTATTGTACCTTTAACCTGTTTTTGGCACTGTGTGAATATAATTCTACGTATTGTACCTTTAAGCTGTTTTTGGCACTGTGTGAATATAATTCTACGTATTGTACCTTTAACCTGTTTTTGGTACTGTGTGAATATAATTCTACGTATTGTACCTTTAAGCTGTTTTTGGCACTGTGTGAATATAATTCTACGTATTGTACCTTTGGTACTGTGTGAATATAATTCTACGTATTGTACCTTTAACCTGTTTTTGGCACTGTGTGAATATAATTCTACGTATTGTACCTTTAACCTGTTTTTGGTACTGTGTGAATATAATTCTACGTATTGTACCTTTAACCTGTTTTTGGCACTGTGTGAATATAATTCTACGTATTGTACCTTTAACCTGTTTTTGGTACTGTGTGAATATAATTCTACGTATTGTACCTTTAACCTGTTTTTGTTACTGTGTGAATATAATTCTACGTATTGTACCTTTAACCTGTTTTTGGCACTGTGTGAATATAATTCTACGTATTGTACCTTTAAGCTGTTTTTGGCACTGTGTGAATATAATTCTACGTATTGTACCTTTAACCTGTTTTTGGTACTGTGTGAATATAATTCTACGTATTGTACCTTTAAGCTGTTTTTGGTACTGTGTGAATATAATTCTACGTATTGTACCTTTAACCTGTTTTTGGTACTGTGTGAATATAATTCTACGTATTGTACCTTTGGTACTGTGTGAATATAATTCTACGTATTGTACCTTTGGCACTGTGTGAATATAATTCTACGTATTGTACCTTTAACCTGTTTTTGGTACTGTGTGAATATAATTCTACGTATTGTACCTTTAACCTGTTTTTGGCACTGTGTGAATATAATTCTACGTATTGTACCTTTAACCTGTTTTTGGTACTGTGTGAATATAATTCTACGTATTGTACCTTTAACCTGTTTTTGGTACTGTGTGAATATAATTCTACGTATTGTACCTTTAAGCTGTTTTTGGCACTGTGTGAATATAATTCTACGTATTGTACCTTTAACCTGTTTTTGGCACTGTGTGAATATAATTCTACATATTGTACCTTTAACCTGTTTTTGGCACTGTGTGAATATAATTCTACGTATTGTACCTTTAAGCTGTTTTTGGCACTGTGTGAATATAATTCTACGTATTGTACCTTTAAGCTGTTTTTGGCACTGGGTGAATATAATTCTACGTATTGTACCTTTAACCTGTTTTTGGTACTGTGTGAATATAATTCTACGTATTGTACCTTTAACCTGTTTTTGTTACTGTGTGAATATAATTCTACGTATTGTACCTTTAACTTGTTTTTGGCACTGTGTGAATATAATTCTACGTATTGTACCTTTAACCTGTTTTTGGCACTGTGTGAATATAATTCTACGTATTGTACCTTTAAGCTGTTTTTGGCACTGTGTGAATATAATTCTACGTATTGTACCTTTAAGCTGTTTTTGGCACTGTGTGAATATAATTCTACGTATTGTACCTTTAACCTGTTTTTGGTACTGTGTGAATATAATTCTACGTATTGTACCTTTAACCTGTTTTTGTTACTGTGTGAATATAATTCTACGTATTGTACCTTTAACCTGTTTTTGGTACTGTGTGAATATAATTCTACGTATTGTACCTTTAACCTGTTTTTGTTACTGTGTGAATATAATTCTACGTATTGTACCTTTAAGCTGTTTTTGGCACTGTGTGAATATAATTCTACGTATTGTACCTTTAAGCTGTTTTTGGCACTGGGTGAATATAATTCTACGTATTGTACCTTTAAGCTGTTTTTGGTACTGTGTGAATATAATTCTACGTATTGTACCTTTAACCTGTTTTTGGTACTGTGTGAATATAATTCTACGTATTGTACCTTTAACCTGTTTTTGGCACTGTGTGAATATAATTCTACGTATTGTACCTTTAACTTGTTGCTGGTACTGCGTGAAGGTGTCAGGGCTTCCGTCTGCTGTGTCTGCATCCGAGTCAGCGTCCAGAGCGATGCAGTCTGAGATGCTGGGAAGCAGCTCGTCCAAACATGGACGTGACGACAGGCTCAGGTACTTCAACTTCCTGTTCTCGCAGTTCAGCTGGAGGTCAACGTTCAGAGGGATCAATGTCAATGACTAAAACTATACATGCAGAAAATTTCTCCTTTAAGAAACAGAATCATCGTAGTGAAAGTATTTGCACATTGAAGAGTTTATAGAATCTTTTTTTCATTCTTTCATATTCATTAATGTTACAAATATTATGTACATATACATTCATAAATGATGTCCTAGTTGTAAATACATCTGCATATTATTAAATTTTAATATAAGCACACAGTTTTTGCAGTGGAGGCAGTAACAGACAGATAATGTAGTCAAATTGTCTCTGGGCAGAGTCATCCTGACTCAGCTGTTCACCCCCTTCTCCTGCTAGTGCCAGCTGGACCCTCATAATACTAAATCTTGTAGTATTGATTATTTAGTGTGTGCGTGTGTGTATCTGACCTTTGTGGCCAGGGCCTCTGCATTCTCCCGGCACGACTTCTCGATCTCCAGCTGAGTCTGCAGAACGCTCACCTCCTCAATCACCATCTGAGATACTGAGGGGAGGACACACACACACACACACACACACACACACACACACACACACACACACAGTTTTAGGGTTACACAATACACTGTATTAATTAACTTATTTGCACAGAGCTAACATTTTTGTTACATGTTTGTTATATATTATCAGTATCGTGACGATTTCAGAATGATGCCCATAAGGTCAGAGATAGAAATCTAGTGAAGTCAGAGCCCGAAACATCTGTACATTTCAGTTTAACTACTATTTAATGAGAGAAAAGTGCAAGAAGAGACTTGGTGAATGCTTATCCTTGTTTGTCAGTCGTGTATGAAGCTGCATTCCTGGCATGTAGCAGCCTGAAGGACATTAATATAATAATATTAAAAGATTTAATGTGAATGCCACGAGTCAAGTGCATTCCTTTCTTTATTTTCCTGATGGAACAGAAGTCTGCCTTCTAAAATAAAGTTTGGAGATGATGCACTAAAATAGTGACAGGCTCCTTGGTCCTGAGCTTCAAATCATATTCAATGCTTTTTAATAAAGAACAAGCTTTGCATTTCTGCTGTCATTTGCAGAGCAACTATGTAACCGTGTCTTTAACTATGTGAACAGCAAACATATCTTGTATTCCCATGTTGAAAACACAAATTCACAAGTTCCTTTAGAGGCAGAAACTGGATTTGCATATAGCCAGGATGTTTTTTCTCATGTGTTGTATTGTCAAGACAGTGATCAGTGAGTTTCAGTGTAAAACTACCACATACACTAAGAGCTAAATAAAAGTGAGCCTGAGGTTGTTAGACGCTCGCAGCTGTCGAACATGTCACCAGAGCTCAGCTAGTCCTCAAGTTATTTTAAAATGACCCAGATATGGAGACTCTGGGAAAATCTAGACGGAGAGAAAAAACTCAACGTGATGAAGTAGCT